CTTTTTTTTTCTTTTACCATTTTGTACGTTTTAAAATCTGTAACATCCATGAACTCACTACGGGTCCCTGTCCAGAATCACATGTTTTGTATCATTCCACTTCAGTTAATCTGAGAAGAAAAAGTCTACAACGGCTTTATAGCAAACGTCTCCCCGTATTGTGGACGCTCTTTGGGGACTGTCCTCGGCCCGTGTCCCCGTCCACACCCGGCTCGCTTTCGGGCGAAGGCAGGCCTTCCTGCTACCCTGAATGGCCCTCGTCACTGCCGCCTGCTTTGGTAGTTTGCACGCACATGCACACACGCTGTCCTCAGGAAAGTTCCTTGACCGCAGCCCCGGGTCGGAAAGAGCCCCCTCCTGCGATTCTTCAGCTCTTCTCCCCCGTCACGTCACGGTGTTTCACCGCCCCTTCAGTGGATGTCCGCTAAGTGACAGTTAGACTGTCTGAACTGAGGATGGACGGAGTGGCCGTGCACACTATTAGCACCCGAAGGCGGCTGAGCTGCGGCTCCCAGCGACTCCCACGTCCTGGGAGAAGCGCCAGCAACTTTGAAGGCCTGCATTCGGGTTCTGCCTCTTCCTTTCCTCTCTCTTCGGAAAGTCGCGGCCTTCCCTGAGAGCTCCCTACGCAGGTGGAGGAAGGCGAATGGCACCGAGCTCAAGCAGCCCGCGGTGGCCGCCCGGGGCTCGCTGCAGCTGGCCGGCCTGCTGCCCACTCCTCCGCTGCCCCGCGATGACTTCAGTTTTGCATCCCCGTTCTCAGGGCTAACCCTGCTTCCGATGGGCGAAAGGCAGCCTGCGGTGCAGAGGACAGCGCTCCGCCCGCCTGCCCTGCGCTTTAGGCCTTTGCTGTGGCCCGGCGGGCAGCCTGCACGGGCTCGGCCCGGAGCTTCCCCTCGTGGCCTCCGGGCGCCGCCCGGCCAGGCCCGCCGACCTTGTGCTCCACGCAGCCCGCTCCAGCGCTGGCTCGCCTAGCCGCCTTCTGGCTCTCAAGCAGCCTTCACATGTGTGTCTTCCCGGAAACTGGTGCTTCCCCCGGTCCCCAGCACCTCAGGCCAAGTGCACAGATCCTCTAGAATCCCACAATGTGCAAGTCAAGGATAAATTTCCTCTTACTCCAGAGATTTTCCAAATTTAGAATTATACGTATGGATGAGTATGCGCACGTTTACTGCCATCAAATTGTTGTTCGCTAAGAATTTTAAGCAACAGAAGCACAAGAATGGTGTGCTCACAGTTACAGCCTTTTCTCCTTCCAGAGCCTGGCGTTTGTGGGCTGCTCACAACCTCTTGTGATTTAATAAGACTCTAGAACATCTGCGCTCTCAACTTTCTTGACACTTAATGCTGGTTTAGCTAGGAATCTTATCTTGAAATACCATCATGTAGGGCCCGAGCACATGGCTCAGTGGCTGATGCACCTGCCTGGCAAGCTCAAGGTCCTGAGTTTGATTCCTGGGAGCAAAAAAGAAACAAAAATATTGTATGTTGGTTTTCATTTGAAGTTTCACTGAAGTAACAGAATACTGCTCTGTTCCTATGGAAGTTTTTGTATAT